TATTTCCACTGTATTAGTTCAATCGATTGAGAGCACTCTTACTTCAGTAGGTAGGCTTTATATACAAAAAGAATCAAACCAATTTTGTTTACAAAAGAACCTGCAAAACCACAAATGGATTGAAGTTATTTCATTCAACAGTTGGGAATCTGAGATGCAGTCCTGTATTTGGAGAGTATCTCGAAGATTAAATAGCTCTACCCAGTTCTCCAAGAATGCTCTAACTAAAGAACTACAATTAGCAAAGCTTTTGACCACTTTCATTCTCACGAGATCCTCACAAATGTTTTTTTCATATTTCCCTAGTAGTAGTCTATAAGTTAGCTAGCTTAGCTTGTTACAAAATGCCATTTGTAATTAGGAAATCCTGTATGCTTAGCTTTGCAAGAAAATTGAGTTTACCTCTGCCAATGCTACAAGAAGAGGATCAAAGGGAACAGTTTCAGGAAGGCATTCCCATTGCAGTCTGTTCTTTACTGAGCCATGCACTAACCTATATAAAGAAAAAAGTTTTAAAAAATTAACATACAATAATATTTAATTTATTGCCAACACTATTCACTTTAAATATATCACCAACTCATTTGCAATATTACTATGTTATATACACAATTTCAATACATACTGCTCTCCTTAGTGAAATGTATAACGGTATTTAACAGTGAAATTATTATAATTCCCAAATATGACAGTTTTCAAAAATTATAAAAGTTTTAGATGTCTCTCATGCTGACATAGAAGATGCTCCCTTTGCAAAGTTACTTATTTTGATAAATATCAAGAAACATTTTCCTCAAATAACAGTTGGTAAGGGAAATCAGTTGAAGTGAAAGAAAATCATACTGGAATTCATCAGTTACTCCTAAGATACAGATAAAGGCTATGTATTAATGATTATTTTATATATGTATATACATGTATTAATTATGACTTAAATTTTTGTTAAGTAGTTCTGCATCCACTTGACAAAACACTAAAGCACTTATTGTCTAGGCTAATATATAATAGACAAAAGTAACTTAAAATACCACAAACGTATTACTTACAAGTAGTTTTGTTAATACCTGACAATTGCTGTAGTTGCTGACAACTACAGAATTGGAATAGTCAAGAAAATGCTGGCATACTACTTACTTCAGATAAAAAAGACTGTAAGATGTCTACTTACTAAAATGGCATTAATTTTATTATCTTTGTTAGTAAGGAGAAGCAAACACTGTTACATGAAGAAAACAACTTATTTCATAAAAGAGGCTTAGCAAACGAAATCTGCGAATATTGAGCTATTCTTAAAAATTGCAGCTTCAGTATTAACGCAGCATTAAAAAAAAACCCCCAAAACCATGGAATTTCAGAGGCATGGAAAATTGCTTTCTGCTTTGAAAAGAGTTAAGTATCAGGAATCTTTTAAGAAATTAATGTAATCATGTAGCCTAACTAAAAGATCAACATTAACAGATTAATTTCAATCTCTGTAATTCTACCTAAGCATAATATATTCGGTAAAAAAATAAACAAAACCAACACACCTGCATGGAATGCCACCTTTAGCATATATGGCAGCAAATGCAGAAGGTGATCGAGAATGAGCACCAAACTGTGAGGACAAAAAAAGAGAAAAAAAAAAAAATTATGCATTATTTTTTCATAACAGTGATGTTTGATAACTATTTTGAATAAACTGCAGTTTACAAATAAAGGAACTCAGTCATACAGTTCTAAAACTAATCAAAAAAAGAACTGCAGCTATGAGGTGGAAAACACGTATTTGGTACATTTACCAGAAAACTGCTTTTCAGAATTGTCTGGCTAAGAAGTTGCAAAAATGAGTAAATAATGTAGAATTAGTGCTTTCCTGATGGAATATCCTTATTTTTCTATGTTGTCTTGCAAATCTTAACACTGAAGTCTTACAAGTTCTCTCCTTAACAGATTAAGGATCTCTTGCTTTCCTCATGCTCTTATTGTTGCTATGCTGATCTTGATCTGAGTATAGACAAAATTACAGGGTGGCAAGATATGGGAGAAACACCAAATATTAGGCAAGATGGTATGAGGGCACTGGAAATCAAGCAGGGAGGCTCACACTGGGTGAGACTCCAGGGAGGACTCACTGGAGAAGGAAACTAGGAGCGTCACAGGAGAAAAGTCTGCACAAAGTTGTTTTTTATCATATACATGCTTCTTATGCACATAAACTATGATATTACTTATTAGCATGCTCATTCAATGCTACTTCCCAGAATAAACATTTTATCATAAAGCATATAGCAGGAAATACAATGAAATCTTAATTTTTATCTTTCAAGTGTTTAAATCCACATTAACATTGTTAAAATTGTGTGCATGATTTGATGACTTCTTGACTTAATTTATTGTAAAAAGGTTTCAAGAAAAAAAAATCCCCACATTAAAGTATTCAGCCTCTGTTTATGGCAAACTAGCATGTCACCAAAGTACTCCCACATTTAGTTGTTTTCCAAGAAGTCTGTGACATTACTAATTGTTTGGCTGACATGGCCCAGTGGTCAGCTTTAATTCACCCTCTCAAAGCTAGTTCTCCAGGTTCTCCTTTCATCAGTCTTCTCCTAAGAACCCAAATACTCAGTACTTGGCAGTTTCAAGTAATGCTTGCTAGCAATTAATTTGCTAAATTTTATGAGGTCTAGATGATCTTCAAAATGCTACCTGATTCTTAGCTACACTGCATAACTAAGACCAGTTCATCTAAGGAAGCAGGTGCCAAAATTTATATCAATAACAAAAAAAAACCCTAGCCCTTTTTAATCTTAGCTCCAAATCTCTATTTAGGGAAAAATTATATGGAAAACAAAAAAAGTTATCATCCAAGCCACAACTGTACCAAAACTCCTTTTTTTAAAAAAAGTAACAAACATGTCATGCCTCATGCATTTGAACTTAGAAATTGGGGAATATATGATTAATAGCAAAAGTTTAGTTTAAATTTAAAAAATAGGACTAGAAGAAGCATGTCCTGTATGTATTTCATGAAGTAAGGAAACTTATTCCAACAAGAAGAAACAAACAGAAAACCCACCACCTATACATACCGGATCAATAGTTTTAGGATTCAGCTTGTCACTAGGCTTTGGCTGTGGTTTAATTGCAGGTTCTGGAGAACACTGCAAAGGAGAAGATGTCTTGCTTTTCTGTACTGTGGTCTTTGCTTTTATTTGGATGCCTGATGACATTCTTAGAACATTACTTCCTAGAACAGAAAAAAGTTAAAAACATAAAAGAATTTTCATTCCGACACGACAGAATATCAAGGGTTAGAATCCCCAGGTTCAAAACTGACATGAACAATCACTCAAGAAAATCTAAATAAGTGTACCAGGAAAGAAATACTTATTCTTATATATCCTAAGCAGAGCATGGGATAATTTTAACAGAATTGTCAGTAAATCTTTCAAATGCACACATCTCCTAATCCTTTGCTGCTCCCCTTTACTCCTGTACTTTGAGACCTGCAGCAAAAGCTAAATTAGCTACAGTCTGCCTTTAGGGTCGCCTACAGAAATCTGAGCAGCATCACAGTGCTCAGCAGAACAGCCCAGAGTGAACAACCCAGGCTGGCTGGGTGCAGTTACAGCAGAAGATAGTAACAATTTGAGGAATGGTCAAGATGAAGGAATGAACACAAGACCAAGTAGATTCAAGACACAAAAACCAAAGCAAAACCAATAAGAGAACAGAAATGTAAAGCACCAAAGACAGAACACAGAAAATAAATTCAAATTCCAGTAAGAACGATGAAAGTATTTTGTTAAAAAAAAATGCAAAAATAACTTTCTGTATACCTCCTTAAATACAGATTTAGGTACATGTCTCCAAAATGTAATGCACCAGCTACACGTTACTATATATGTATGTAATTGGATTAAAGTGTTCATAATAAAAATGGCTACTGTCTATTTAACATACCAAGCCTGACACTATGATGAATAAAACAAATTACTCCTGGGAATAATTCCAGGTTTTCAGAGAATCATAGAATCATTTAGGATGGAAAAGACCTTTAAGATTATCATGTCCAACCGTAAACTTAACACTGCCACATCCACCACTAACCCATGTTCCTAAGTGTCATATCTATATATGTCTTGTAAATATCTCCAGGGATGGTGACTCTACCACTTTCCTGGGTGGCTTTTTTCCAATGCTTGATAAGCCTTTCAGAGAAGACATTATTCCTGCTATCCAATCTAAACCTCTCCCGGCACAACTTGAGGCTGTTTCCTCTTGTCCTATCACTTGTTACTTGGGAACAAAGACTGACACCCCCACCTCGCTACACCCTCCTTTCAGGTAGCTGTAGGGACCAACGACATCTCCCCTCAGCCTCCTTTTCTCCAGACTAAACAACCCCAGTTCCCTAAGCTGCTCCTCATAAGACTTGTGCTCTAGATCCTTCACCAGCTTCGTTGCCCTTCTGTGGACACACTCCAGTACCTCAAAGTCCTTCTAGTAGAGAGAGGCCCAAAACTGAACACAGTACTCGAGGTGTGGCCTCACCAGTCCTGAGCACAGGGCAAGGATGGCGTCCCTGGTCCTGCTGGCCACGCTGTTTCTGATACAGGCCAGGATGCTGTTGGCCTTCTTGGCCACCTGGGCACACTGCTGGCTCACATACATTCAAATTCTTTTCTCTTCCAAGAAGTAATCAAGATACATGTCAAGGACTTTACTAACTTTTTAACTAACAACAAAATCTGACACATTTGGAAAACTGCTGGTTGTACCATCACAGAAAGTAAAAAATAAAAGGAGTGACAACGGTTTCGTAAAAACGCGACTGCGATAGATAACATGCACATGTAGTGCCAGAGGGGGTGGCAGAGAGTGGAAAAAGGGCTTTTCATAAGGAGGTCTCAGTGTTCAGAGCAAAATGAAAGGTCTTATGTAGTCAAGAGCTGGGAGAGTCCCATGCATTGGTAGAGAGATCAGACAGCAGAAGTACAGTTATGAATCAAACAAGTGACATACAAGGCTTGATACAGAAATGAACCAGCCTACTGGCAGATGACAGACTTCAAGCAAAGGACAGAAATCCTTAAATAGAAATAGAAAAAGCACCTTTAAAAGACATCTTTCAAGGGAGGAAAAATGCGGCCTGGAGTTTGGTTTCTGGAAGTCACTTATGAAAGGTGGAATGAAAGCCAGTAGGATTTAAAAGGCGAGGTTGCTCCCTTCCCCTGGTGAGTGCCAGCTCTCCGGGGTGCAGCTAGG